GATCGTCGAGAAATCGAGGAACAGCTGCTATGGGGTGTGATGCGAGAGTCGCAGTCATTTGCAGAGACTCTAGAGCCAGAAAGCCAAGTCTGGAGTTATGCACCCCGGCGGCCAAACCTCGAGAACAACGACGTATCCCGCCCAGACCTTGATCTAGAGACAATATTAGCAATGCCCGGCGGTGGGGATGCAGCAACCAGACCTGCAACTGTAGCGTCGGCGCTCGAAATACTATCCAATGTGCGCGCCTCGGCTCTCCTTGAGCCCGGCATGCGCAGCACACGTCTTCAGCACAGGTTCGCTGAAGCGCGCGCATTCTTACGCGTCGACCCTCCGCAGCCAGAACTACCGCTCGTGTCGCTTGACAGCCAGCCTGATCGGCCAGAGCCAAAGACGGACGCGGAAATGACAAAGGTACTCGCGTGCCAGGTGTGCTATCAGCAGCTTGCTGATGTAGCTGTATTGCCCTGCGGGCATATGGTCATGTGTCAGTGGTGCGCTGATGTCGTTGTTCCGGTAAAGCATGGCCATATACCCGTGCGGCCGACGAAGTGTCCCATGTGCAGAAAACAAGTGAAGCAGAGGTTCAAGATACATACTGGATGAGGTGGCTGGATTGATGTCACGATGTAATGAAAGTAATGATCTACGATGTATATATAGAATTGGATATAGGTATGATCTATACAAGAAGCCAGCTCGGGTCTGCTAGAACCGGTGACAATCTAGTGTAATGGTGCCCGTCCACGAGTCTGATATCTCATTACTACTGCTTCGCTCTCTGACCTTTGTTCATCGTGGTCCAGCTGGCATGTTCTTCACCTTTGAGCCACGAAACGTGTAAAACCTGGAGCTTCGTGCGGGGAACACGGGGACCGATCGTATGTAGGTCTCTCTGTAAATCAACGTCGCGACCCCGATCAGCCTGTGAGACATTGTCATCCACACTCGTGGAGACTAGTCCTGCTCGTGTGAGTTTGAGGATACACGTCGTTCTCTCGATCTTTTGCGTTGTTTATAGATCGTGTCACTTCAGCGAAGTGTACTCGTGGTGATGTTGAACTCATGCGTGTGGCGAGGATGTGGAGGAGCGTAGTGATGCCTCACCAGCTGGTCAAAATGCTCCAGGTTCGAGAAGTCGACCACGAGGAGTCGACAAGTTCATGGGCGACAAGCTGCTCTTCATCGGAATGTTTCTGCCACGACATGGTCGACCATGAGATCCCGATACAGACGCCCTTCCCTCCAATCAGAGGCAGCAGGAATAGAGACAAGGGCGTGGCTTCGGTTGTGGATGCGTAGGGCGAGGGTATTCGTGTATGCGTTGAGATGCGATGCTAGTGATCTGGGGCATGTGTCCGCGACATGGCTTCAGAGTCCACCGTAGATGGCGAACGAAGACAATATGAGTACTAAGGTGTTAATGACAGCCCAGACAAAAGGTATCCAGGTGGACATTTCGAAGTAGCCCGCCTGATATACGCCTCCGAGTCTGAAAGTAGTCAGTATGCGATCCATATGACTCTTTCCAGAGGAATCACTCACAGTCCGCCAACAATTGCACCCGCAACAAGTGCTTCAACACCTCCCACGATGCTGAAGACAGGGAGGGCTATCCATATCAACTTCCAATTACGCCATTGCACTATGCACGCCCATAGCGCAGTGATGAAGTGGATGCCGCCGACCAGCAGCAGTGTCCAGTATACGGTGAAGCGGAAGATGTCATCGGGACGGTATAGGTAGAAGGACTGTGTCGCGCCGGCGGGAAGAGGCCAGTAGAGGGAGGGGAAGGGCGGCGTGGTGTAGCCGAGCGGAACCGCCGAGTCGACGCGTTGAATAAAGCTGGGGAATATATGGTTAACTACGTTCATGGCTAAGATGTGGGGAACATGTTGAGGCGAACGTGAATGTTGGGCCATGCACAGGGGGAAGACCGCGGTGAGCACAAGGGTCCAGTTGGGCTTACCTCATCTATGCGGCATGGCTATGGGGCGCTTCGTGTACTGCTGCGCGTAGGACGAGGACCGCGGAATCATACGATATCAGAAGCCGATGTTTTGAAGTTGATGCTTGTGACGTCGATCTCCGAGTGAATGTCAACGGCTAAAGCCCGAGCTTAGCGCAACCTCGGCTGACGCGAGCGATGATCAACACCAGCCATTGCATCTCCAACACCTCCATGCGCATCTTCTGGTAGCCTGTCGCGGGCTTCTCGAGGTCATCATGGTCGTCGATCGCCTCTTATCCACGCTGCTGCGCTCGCTCCAGACATACACAGATCAGCAAGACACGCCGCGGTACGCATCGCGACTCCCTATCCGCAATGCGCGTGCTAATGACCACAGGCTCCTGGGAACCGCGTCTTCACTCCTCACCACGCTCGGCAACCCCCACAACCTCAGCCTCCTTACTTCGCACCTCCTTACTGCGCCCGCGCTATGGGACCGTCCCGATGGCGTTCGGACACCTCTCCGCATGCTCTCCGTCTTTCACTCGGCCGTCACCACCATCATCAACCACCACAACGACGTGCGGCACAACAAAGTAGCTAAGCTTGCGCCAGGGCAGACGCCAATAGGAGGAGGCCTTTCGCTAGATGAATGGATACGTGCCATAGTCGCGGGAGCCGACGACCGGAGCCGCCGATGGAAGCACTTGGTCGTCCTCGCCGGCCTGCTGATCGGTATCGGGAGCCTCGAAGAGCAAGGTATGGACCTGTACTGGGCATCAGCTATGCGAAAGAGAGTCGAGGCTGCATTGGTGCGCGCGACAAACCTCGCCCTGGTGGAAGTCAGGGAGCGTTCCGAGGCAGACGGACTGGGAGGCCAGACAATAACACTGACGCTCAACCATGCCTTCGGATGCATCGGAGACGTGGAAAGGACACAGCTTGATTACGATCTGCTGCTCCCAGTTCTCATTGGAACGGCATACTACTCGAACGAAGGTTTCCAGTCGGCCTACTTCCTTGGGAGCCTTGATCTCGACGTACGAACAATGCAATCAGGGAAGCTGGACTGGAGTGTAGGTCTTTTTGGAACCTGATACATGCGCGTACATATACTGACTATGCATAGCCTCACTCTAGCTCTTACAGACAAGTCGAAAGTATCATGAACAGGCCCTTGGTATCATCTATGGGTCCCCTATCACGGCTAATCGCGCATGCTGTCGAGAACGTCAAGAACCCATGGATCATCCAAACAATGATGGACGACCTCGCAAGCTTTTCTCGCGCTCTTACTACACAATGGCGACAGACCAAGTTTTCAGACATCGAGCCATCCGAAGAGGCAGCAAATCTGGAAGACGACGCGCTTCACAAGACCACTCCGCAGTTGTGGAACCTACTCAAGGCGGCTCTCTTTGCTACTACTATCATTCTGCGAGGCGTATTCACACGAACCTTAGCCGACAGAGCGCTTGCTGCAGACGCCATCGCTCCCATGCTAGCATCACAAGCCTTGCAAACCCTGCGGCACCTATACTTTATTACCTCCCGACTTGGCCCAGCGTCCTTCTCCCAGCATACGTTCGTCTATCTCACAGCGATAGACATTCTGTCTGCCTACCCCAACCACGCCGATAAGCTCCTCAAAACTATTGCGCCTCAACACCTTGGCCAGATACCAAGCCACCCACTTGACCGCATACTGGACCTCTACTTTCTGAATACAGCAGAGCATTTCACTTTAATCTTGTCGCCAGCCACAAACGAGGACTTACTTGTCGCGTCGGCGGTACCCTACCTTGCGGCTGGCGAGAATCGCCATATGTTGCCAGTGTTCGAAGCTGCCCATAGCGTTATGCTTGCTGTGCTATCTGCTCCACAATCTGCCGAGATTACAGCAAAACACTTGCCGTTCTACATCGACGCTCTCTTCAGCGTTTTCCCTCACAACCTGTCCCCGCGCCAGTTCCGTCTAGCTTTCAAGACCTTGATGCGTGTCACAGCTCCTCCTTCCACCTTATCGGCAACCCATCCCGATCTCCCAGCCACGCTCCTAGAGCTCGTATACCATCGCGCTCTCAACGCTCCTTCGCAGCCACTACCACCTGATTCGGTCGCTCTGGCTCTACAAGGCTCAGACGCACCACCACCCGCCCTCTCGGAACAAGCAGTGCTCGCTTTGACGCTCATAGATGCCCTGCCTTTCCTTCCCATATACCTGCTGGAGGAGTGGCTGCCTCTATGTGCCGAACTGCTCAATCAAATCCATGACGATGAAATGCGGGAAAACGTCAAAGCGCGATACTGGGAAGTGTTAGTCAGCGGCGAGATGGATGCAGAGCGTAGTGGTGTTGCTGTGAATTGGTGGACGACAAGGGGAGGCAGAGAGCGAGTACTTTACGGAAGAGAAGAACAGTTGGACATGATGAGTGGTGCGCTACCTGTTGAAGAGCGACACGTGCGGGAGAGTAAGCTGTAGGAATATGATACCCCAAATCAAAATGATGCACATTAAGGCTTCGTCAGATCCTGGAAACAGCCATCGAATGTGCGAATCACATATTGATGCAGTAACTTCGACAATATTACAGGTCAGAATGGTATGCAAACGCCCGTCAGGGTCAGTGCTCTTCTGCAAGGCAACAAACAAACGGCTGATACCGCACCCCAAATTGAACCCATCTCACCCTCTTCCAATTCAAAACCGAACGCCAGTCCGACGGTCCAGTTAAGGAATATGCAGACACGCATGATCGACCGCTACGTACCTGATCGCGACAACGCGTACCAACGCAGGTCCGACGCACCACGCTCTTCTTCAACTCTTATCAACCCATCCTTCCAAAGCGCTCCATCACTCTCAAACCCCCACTATACACGCCGAAATTCAAGCCAACACACCTCATCCGACGACACACCCACCAAACTCGACAAGTCACTACCCAAGAACTTCCCCCAACCCCTAACCTGTTTCTTCTGGCACCAAAACGGGCGATGCAACAAACGAGACATAGATTGCGCGTATGCACACTACGACACTGGGTTCATGGCTGGTGCGCCTGTTACGCCACTTGACTGTGCGTTTTCCTCCATCAACGTCCTAACAACAACCTGCTGACTCACTCCCAGCATCCAAGCCCCTCGCGGGTAGAAACCTGTCCGATTATAACAAGACCCTTAATTCCTCCTCCGCTCTTATTCTACCAGATATCCGTGACCGCGAGGTCGCCGTTATGAACCGCGAGATGGAGGCGGAAGAGCAGCTGCGTGAGATTGAGCGGCGCGAAGGTGTGGTGGAGGGTAGAGAGAGTGCTGTGGAGAGGAGGGAGAGGGAGGTAGAGGAGAGGGAGAGGTTGCTTGAGCGGAGGGAGGCTAAGATGGCGAAGAAGAGGAAGGATGGTAGGGTTTTGGATACAAGGGGTAAGAGGATGGAGGAAGGGATGGGGAGACGCTGAGGAGTTTTGTGTGTGTTGTTGGTGAGGGGTGGGGCGAGGGTGAGTGTTGTAGAAAGTGGGTCTTTGGGGTTCGAGGTCAGAATGGTGTCGCAGAAGATGGGGTATTTCGTACGATGTCGATGGGTACATTACTTGTGGAATGATATGTCATTCGTCCTCGTGTTACTTATATGTTACAAAGCATTTTATAATTTTCTATTTGATAGCCCCAGTATCACTCTTATGCCGATACAAATACTCTTATTCGCTCTGCGATCGTCCTTTGGATCACGCCCCCGTTTGTTGTGTTTGTCCGGTACTTCGGTTCCTACTATCCTGTTCTTGCGATCCCCTTTCCCTTTCTCTCTGCTTCCCACCCGCGAAGAACGACGCGTGTTGATGGAGGAACGCCAGTTGACACTGAACTGCGTCGATCGCACGGCAGGTGATAGATCCCGTTGGAGGCGATTGTTCAGCCCCAAATCGTCAGGGTAGGCGCTGATGTCATGTTCCCGATCCCAATAGCATGGCAGTATTCCCATGCCAGTCCTGTCGTTATGGGTTCGTACAATGATGACTTCGTGGCGCATTGAGTTGGCCGTCTTCTCGCCACTCCTTGTTGTAACCCCTCTCAGAAGTAGATGAAAGTCTCGATGCTCTCCGTCCGTCCATCAGACCTCTTCGTATCTTGTAGCACAATGCCCCCCTCTTCATCGACCATATGCGCATTGCCCGGCTCCCGGATATACCCATCTCTATCCACCCTCGAAGCCATGGTCCCTCTTGACCCCGACGTCCCTGAACTGGCCGACTTCCACCACGTACCACCACCACCCTTCTGGATGCTGGCATGCGTCGTGCCTTGGCTAGATCCGCTGTACATACTCGTTGCCACCTTGAAGTAATGCGACAGGAAGACTTTGAGTGCGGGCGCACTCGCGCAGATGGCGCCGAGTTGGATTTCCAGCACGCAGAGCAACCATGCAGGCCAGGACTCCCAGGTTGAATCGTAAAGGGGGCTGTTGAAGGTGCGCCATACGAAGTAGGAGCGTACGCCTGCGACGATGCAGACCAGGTAACCGAGAGCGAAGATGGCGCCCAGGGCAATCTTTTGGCGACGAGGGATGTGTAGGTTCCAATATAGGATTGTGGGAAGAAACGCAGCGATTGCATCTTGTACAGCGCTTATTATACTCGCTGATAGAAGGTCTGCCGCTTCATCGATCCAGCAATGGTATGCGTATCCTGTGAGCTGCTTGGTGATGTCGAATTGGTACCAGAATGCGGTAAACGGTGTGCAGGCCGTGAAGAGAACGATGACGAATGCGATGGAGAAGATGGCGATGGCAACGATGTTTAGCCATGTTGCGATGCGGAAACTCTTCGTTATGGAGCGTGAGTCGAGACGGCGGTAGAAGAGCAGGATGGATATCTTGATCATCCCTCCTGCCACAATGTACAAAGCGTAGAGGGCGAAGGTTACTTGGCGCTCTGGGACGTACTTATCGGGATGGACGTCCCAGATGTGTCGATTGAAATTGTAGCGTTCGGTCGCTAATGTGGTCATTAGTATGAGATGGTAAGGTTTCGCGTGAGTGGCAACGTACCAAGACATGCGGTGACTGTCAGTCCAATTGTTGGGATCTGTGATCAATGTGTTAGTCTTCACACACACAGTTTCAGAGACTGTGGGAGGCTCATACCATTGCAGCCAACATGATCCAGTCATCGACGCCCGAGTTCCTTTGTATAACAGCTCTTGCCCATATTCTTGCTCCTACTACAGCAAGCATAATCGACCCCAGAGTACATGATGTAATGAGAACGGCTTTGGAACGCGTGACGGGATCTTCGTAATTCGGAAGCGGCCAGGCTGCAAAGACTGAGACGGGAGGAAGGAGACCACTGGATCCTTTTCCATTAGGGCTGTATGCCATGTTGGACGTATGGAGGAAGAAAGCCGCGACTAGAGCGTGATAGAGAAAACAAAGTGAGATCGTAGTCCGAAATTAGATGTCAGCACCGGATATTCCGGATGTTTCGCATACAGTGTGGCCACGCCATATACTGGAAAACGAAGAGATCTCGAGTATCAGGATGAAGGGTCCGAGGAAAAAGTAAATAGAGGTAGTTGAAGAACGTTTCTCAGACATCCCACGTCTGTTACTGGAACTCTATTAGCTCAACCGCGGCAAACCCTTGCTATTCTCCACGTCAGCCAGACCCTCCATCGATCTTGCCATGCCACGCCAGTTCTCCATACAAAGTTTAGCTATCCCATCGCAAAACCGTCAACAGTAGCAGTGGCGGCGGCGGAGCAAACTAAGGCAGAGTCAGGTACCAAACAGTAGGTCGCTGCATCCTGGGGGGACCGCGGCCGTCCGTTAACGGTGCGGATCCGGAGCAAGGCCTAACTCAATAGGACCCTCAAACCAACTTGTTTAGGAAACTGGTATCCGATAGTCACGTCTTCCCGTACAATTGAGTTTATCCAGAGTTTGCGGATTGTTCGGAGAAGCGACGCTCGGCCTGATCGCGTGGCGCGAATCTGCAACCGGCGGCACCGGTATTGGAACTGTTGACTCCCCAACGTGGGAGATGAGAGGGTCGCACGGTGGCTGCGTCTTCTGTGGGGAACTGAATCGTGGAGACGTGAACGGTGGATAGACAAGAACGGGATGTACGAAGTAGCGCTAGACGCAGCTTTCAAGTATCGCACCAGCACACGTGGTATCAAGGGACGTGCGTCTTCTCGGCCTGCTTACCGTTCAGGGAGGGAGCTGTCAAAGTTAAACCGCAACATTGTAAGTCGTCACCGACGTGGACGAACTTTAACTGCTCTCGTGTTCGCAGTTCTCGGCACCCGAGGACTGGAGAGATGAAGAAATCCATGATGATCTGGATGATCAACGATCGAATAGATCGTGCAGCGCATCGCCTAGACCGCGCTAATGCAAGCACCGGCGATCACCGCTGCAGGTCACCAAACTTTAACAACGGTTCAAGGCACGCGTAGATCGCCAGTCTAACGACTGTTCGTCGCGTCAATGGACCCTTTTGGATATAGCATGGGTGGCGAATGCCGAGGGACCATGTGGTTCTGGAAGTCTTCGAGCCAATGTTTATCTGATTGAGAAACGGGTTTTATAACAACAGTTTGCCAGTAGGAAACACTGACAGGATGAATGTAAAGAAATCCTTGTGCAAAGACGAACGGAGGTTACAAATCCACTCCTGACCTTGATACGACAGTGCGAAACACAAACGAAACAATGCGGCTGAACGCCGTGGTATGACAGATGTACGCCATACAAGCCCACCCGGGCCCCAACGCACCAAACGCCAAGCTAATCACAAAGGGAAAGAGTTGACGCCATCGCCATGCAAGTCTTGCGTATGTTTACAGTTCGAGCTTCGCGACTCATGGGCGTGCTGCAAGCCGTGGAGTGCTTTCTCTCGTACGACCCTCTCCGAGGGCGCTTATAATTGTCCGGCGTTTCCGTGCCTACGTTTGTCGTTCTTTTGCACTTTTTGTACGCGACTTGGAGCGTTCCCGAGTCACGGCGTCTTTCAACGCCTTCAATCGTTCCTCGGTCACACGAATCGCTTCGTCCATCTCCCGCGCCTGCATGTCATGCGGTGCTAGAGGCTTCTGCGTGCCGTCCTCCGGTTGAATGTGTGCCCCCCGGACGGAGCTATGCACTCTGTCCAAAGCAACTCTTTCTTCGAGCCAGTTCCAGAGATCCGACTCTTCGTGGCGCCAAATCTCCTCGTACGCAACCTGACGTTGAGCCGTCGACCATTGGTTTGGACCAGTCGCCGTTGATGTACCTCGGAACAGCCAGGTGTACATCAGAAGCGCTCCGAGGATGACGATGATGACTTGCGGAGTGAAAATAGATTCCAGGATATCAGCAAACGGCCCAAGGATACTGCGCAAAGGCTCCAGTAGCCCCCAATTGCTCTGCTTTGCCTGACTAGTGGGGACGGGAGCGGTGGCAGGCATGGGCGCTTCATCGAGAAGATTGCCCTTGGATCGCCTTTTGCCCTTTCCGCCCTTTCCGGGTACGCGAGCCGGACCGGCTTTCGCCGCACTCACGGCAGTGCGGAGAGCGGCAGTGAGGGAGGTTGCGTACGACATTTGACCGTCATTCGCGCCTTTCTCGATAGGACCTGAAAAGGTTAACATATTTTCTGCGTCGGAGCAGATACTACTTACCCTTCAACCAACTCTTTCCACTCCACTCCACCGTGAAGGTCATGATGAGCCGCGTACTGTTTCCCGGGCCCCACATCAGACAATACCTTGTCTTTGTGAGGAATATGCTGCCGTTGGGTACGTCCGGAGTTGCTGTGCTGCAAAGCACGCTTACGGCCTTGTCCAAATCGTACTGTTCCAGGTTCATGGCGATATTACACTTTGTCTGCCGCGGTCCAACAGGTGCGTTGAGCGGCTTGATATAGGAATAATTGAATGTCTTCATGTCTTCACCCAGGCCCTTCTTGTCGTCTTCCATTTGCAAGTCCAGGGACTTTTGGTCCTCCACGAGCCATTTGCGCATAAACACACCAGAAGCTGGACCGAACATCAGGCTATAGACCTTGCCGAGAGGCGCAGGGATTGTCGTGTCGATAAGTAGTTTGTCGTAATGCTGGTCGCTGTCACCACACTCAGTGGGTCCATGAGCTGTTGAGCCAGGGAAGTCTTGTCCAGCAGCGGCAGTGCCATTCGTGGCTACTTTCGCAGCCTCAGCCGTCTCACCACCTCCGCCAAAGGCTTGCGATACCGCGCCGCTCACTTTTCGGGTTGTCTCGCCTGCCACAGAGCCAACTTCGCTACCAGCGATACTACCTTCGCCAGGTTCGGTGAAACTGCCAGTGCCTTCGTCGTCGTCCGCATCTTCGTCGTACACCTCATCATCCGAATCCTGGATAGATCCGTCTTCGCTGCCGATGGATTCCGCTTTCTCAGTCTTGTCACCGGTGCCACCAGAACCGTCTAGCGTTACACCATTGAGGGA